GATCTCAATGTAATCAAACAGTCTCTGGGCCTCTCCTTCTTTGTGAATCTTCCAAGTCTGAAAGCCGACACAATTTTAAAATCCTTTTCTTCCAAATTCCAGAACTTGGAAAATTCTTTGGTCAAAAACTCAGTTAAATTTCCTTCTTCTGCCTCTTGTAATGATCTAATCCTCAAATTATTCTCACGATTTCGCAGTTCTATCATGGAAAGATAAGTCTGATGTTCCCCAACTTGTTTGGTGAGTGGCCTTACCTCTTGCTCTAAATTTTCCAATTTTTGTCTGGTATCCTCAGCCAATTTCCGATTTTCTGCTGAGGCCTCCGTTAACTGTCCAATTGCTTGTGTATTCTGTACAACTTGTATGGTTAATTTATTTAGACATTCTGTATTTTTGTCAATCTTTGCTGATTGCGCATCTACTTTCTTGTCCAAAGCTTCCAATTTTTCAAAGATTTTGTCTAGAACAGAAACAGATACTCCTGAGGCCATATCTTCCAATTGTAACTGCTCTGCTTCACCCTCTCCCTCTTTTGCCTGTGGCAAGGCAACTTCTTCAAGTTCTACTTCTGAGGGCAAAGTAGGTACAGATGATCTACGTGTCTGCGAGGCTGAGGTTAGAGTTGTTAAAGTTGTTTGTCTAACTCTCCCTCTTTTCCTTGTGCCACTCATTCCAACGTTGTCTATCAGTCAAGGTCACACTGAGTTTTTCCCATGGGAATAGAAAGGCCCAGAGCAAGTAAACAACAAGGGAATCGAAAGTAAATGTAAATATAAAGTCACTGTTTTCATCCAGTCCTCTAGAGGGAGCTTAAAATGTCTTTCAGAGTCTAATTTAATGTCCAAGAACCTTCAAATATAAATATTTAGCAGAGTTTATAAGTAGTCACTTTGTTACAGACAGTGCTTATTTATCTCCAAAAAGAATGTTTCAAATTTAAAAAGTCTCAATACCCTCAGATTGTTGCAAGTTCCAATATACAGTATCCAAATCTGCAATACTGACAGCTCAATTTCTCAATGCTCAGGCAGCTCCTGACTCTGGGTTTCACCTTCTAATTTGTAATCCAATAAAAGGGGGAAAGTCAAGTGCAAGTTAAAATTCCAAGTCTTTAGCTTAAAGTCTTTACTTTAAATTGCAGGTTCAGTAGATGCTTAGATCTGTAAAGTTTAAAATCTCTTCCTTTCAGCCTCCACTCCTCCAACTTAGTTGCTTTTTTCAAGTTCAATGGCTGCGGAAGACGGACTTCCTGTTTCCACGTCTCTCCGCTTTCAGCCAAGTTCAAGCCAATTTAAGGTTTTTCATATAAAGTCTCTGATTTCAAGTGATTCAGTCTTTACTCACGAGTAAGTTGCTTTTCGTCCGAATCCGTGTTTTAGCAGGAAAAAGGATCAGCGCTCACCGGCAGCAGCAGCGCGGCTTCACTCCGCAGACTGTGAAGCAGCTCTCAGCGCCGCAACCCCCCTCCACGCTCCGGAGCCCCTTACGAGGTTCCTTCTGCGTTTGGAGGGTCACTTAAGGCGCCCACCGAGCCTCAGGACCCCAAGCTCTTGCTGCCTGGGGTTTTCCGGAGTGGGTCTCCGCTTCGCCGTAGCGGACGACCCGTTTTCTGCGGAGCCTCCTCTCCCGTTCAGAAGAGGACCGCCATTGCCGTTCGCGCCGCCCCTCGGAAGTCGCCGTTTACCTTCCTACTGGAGCGGTACCTATTTATCTACTTGCACTTTGACGTGCTTTCGAACTGCTAGGTTGGCAGGAGCAGGGACCGAGCAACAGGAGCTCACCCCGTCGCGGGGATTCGAACCGCCGACCTTCTGATCGGCAAGTCCTAGGCTCTGTGGTTTAACCCACAGCGCCACCCGTGTCCCATTGACTCTTGAATACCTCCAAGGGAAAAAATACTGCCTGTACTAAACTTTTGGTGGAGTCAAGAGCTTAAGAAGACACCTGTTGGATCAGGCCCAAGGCTCATCCTAGTGTTGCATCCTGTTCGCACAACCGCCAACCAAATGTCTAGAGGATTGACCACAAGCAGTGATCAATATAACCTAAAGTGTCATGGAATTCTACTCAGTATCGATCCAGAGCAGATTCCAAGGTATAGTTAGCAGAGTAACAACTTAAACACATTGCAGGATTCCCCCAAAAGTAGACCAGAGGCCACTGTATTTCATCCAGCAGAGCTTTACTGCTACTGAAGGCAAATGAGCATAATGGTCACAAATCCAAATACATTCAGAACTGGCACTGTCCATAAGAAATCCAGTTGCAGCAGACTTAAACTTAAACTTACAATAACTGATAACCCATTTTTGTCTACTTGAAGAAGCCATGGTCCGATCTGAAAAATACAAATATTTAGGATACAAAACTGTAAAAATAAAGAAAAATTAAGTTTGCAAAACAATAATTACCATGTAGTTAGGGTAGATCAACGTGTCAGTGTCCACTTATCCCCAGTGTAAATATGACATATCGGCAAAAGTCGGAAATTGAAAGGTAGCCATAGCATGTACACGAAAATCAATTTCAGATTTGAAATCAGCATTGAAAGAACATATAAGAACAGTTGAAAAATCTCATGCAAAAGAAAATGAAAAAAAAATGTTCCCCAGTACACTGTGTATCCCAAGGGAATACATTTTTTTGCATACCTCCAACTGTACATAGATATACATGTCATTTTCAATGCTATACATGTCACGTTCAATGCTATATAAGTCACTTACACTAATACTCATATTGTACTACTTTGGCTATGTGTTTAATAAAATATTGAATTCTTGCATTGTGAAAAACAAAGATTATGGTGAAAAGTGAAAAACATGAATTGCAAAAAAAAACTAGAGCTTACAGAACAAAACCAACTTCAGATATGAAATCAGCACGTTGACATTAGGTTAGAACAACTGCAGGTGTCAATGCAACAAAAATAGCTCAGGGGCAGATAAGGGGAAATATACAATATACAATGTGACACTAGATGGCGATGGTGAGCCTTATAGAAAATTCAATGTATTTTTAAAAACTTTTAAAAAAGAATTCTCAGAACATTTGTTATATGTGTTTTGAATCCACCTTAGATACAAACCTAGGTAATACATATTAGTAACATAACAAATACCTGCCTGTCTTTTATGTTTAATCTAGCAAGGGCAAGTACACCAAGCAAAGGTTATTTATTATTTAAACTGTAAAATAGAGTGTCTTGCATAGTTTTTATAAAAGTGAAAAGGGAATTAACTAAAGGGTCAAACAACCTGGGCTCTCTTCCACATAACACTGCAAATGGGAACTAGAGTTTAATTCCCACAAGATGTCCCCCCCCCCAAAGAAAAAGTGTTCACCCTTTATTTTCTGCAGTGCCATAGCATGCCTTTTATCCCCAGGGGTGGAGAGGAGGGTGTGCTGCGTTTTCAAGGGAAATGATTTGAATGTAGGGCTGGGTCACAAGATTGAATAGATTTAAGAGAGCAGAGAGACGGGTCTGAAGCAGAAACCTCTGTGCCTTAAGGAGGGAGAGCTCCTCTGCGTTCCCATCATGCTCTGGGCCTGCCTCTTCCTCACTTATTTCTCAGGTAGGAGAGAAAAAGTGTGTTTTCTTTCTTTCTTCTGAGCGACAGACCAAAGAGGAGTCTAACATATCCTGAGATAATTTTTCTCTTTCTCTTTCAGGATCTTTGGCCCAGTATGTGTTGACGCAGCCCCCATCAGTGTCCGTGTCTCTGGGACAAGATGTCCAGATCCCTTGTTCCGGGAGCAACATTGGTGGGAAGAGTGTACACTGGTACCAGCAGAAACCCAGCCAGGCCCCTGTACTGATAATATATGCAGACAATCAGAGACCCACTGGGATCTCGGACCGATTCTCTGGCACCAACTCCGGCAACCCAGCCACACTGAGCATTGCCAGAGCCCAAGCAGAGGATGAGGCCGATTATTACTGTCAGGTGCGGGACAGCAACACACCTCACAGTGACACAGGCAGATGGGGAAGTGCGACAAAAACCTCTTGCTGAAAAAGGCAGCTGCTATCATACTCTGTCTTCAGAAGAGCGACCTTCCAGTGGAATTTAATTTTCATGAAAAGAGGCTTATTCTCACCTCCAAACCCCCCCTTCCCTAGAATTACACTTGCTGTTGCCCCTCGCTCCCTCATTTAATGAGGGGAAGCAAATGAAGGGGGTTCACTGAGGTAGAGAATTTAGCATAGACTTCAAGTGTGCATCGGAAATAGACAGCAGGTCTATGCTGGGCCACAGAGAGGCTTATTTTGTCATTATTTAGAGCATTTGTACCCTGCTCTTTGGTCAAAGAGGCTCCCAGAGTGGCTTACATACAAGCAATTGAAACCAGACACTCCTTCCCCATAGGGTATAAGCTCAGGAAAACCACGACACACAAGGCGAAAGGAACAGGGAGGGCAGAGGAAAATATACATCCAACTCAGGCACCAATGTCTAAACAGTTGTGCCTATAATGACCAGCTGGCCTAGTTTGGGGGCAGGAAGGAACTGATGGAGTTGGACTTCCAGCAAAGCTGACGAAATGAGCCTTGTTTGCTACTTCTCTCACTGAGGCAAATCTGATGGGATGGCTGCCCCCCCTCCCAGTTGAGCTGGCCTCTCATTTCAAACTGCTGTTCTCTGGCTACGTTGGGCACCACTTATCCTCCGTGTCTGATCCCTTAACTACATCTCAGTGCTCATAAACGCCACACTTTAACTCTGTGTTAACCTCCATTCGTCTGTCCTTTTTAAAAAATTATTTATTTGGTTTTTCAGATTAAAAATTTTTAGTCACATATCCAACATACAACATAAAAACAAGATTCCAATGAATCTCCTGGACTTCCCTCCTCCTCTTTGTGGGTCCTATTGTTAATCATTTCCTCCTGCATCTTTTATAATAATCCAAATATTTTACCTCTCCATTGTCCAAAATTCATCAATGAACTACAAGTGATATTCTGATCGTACTAATGATTTTAACTGTTTACAATGGACTTTAAGATAAGTTATAAATTTCCCCCCTCATTGAAATTTTGATTTTCCTGATTTCTGATTCTTCTAGTTACTTTAGCTATTTCAGCATAATCCATCAACTTGATCTGCCATTCTTCTCTGGTCAGGACTTTTGTCTGTCATGATCTCCAACCCACATGGACTTCAGATGACGTATTGGGAAAGGGGGCGAAATTAAGTACCCTAAACCATCATGGTGTTTCAATAAACATCTCTAGAGGGTGCTGGCAGACTTGGTAAGATCCACTCTGTGCAACCAGGCAGAGGGGGCTGAAATAGCATGCTGCTGGAGAGCACTAACCACATCCTCCTCTTTCTCACATGATACGCTGCCACCACATATCCCTTGGGACAGATTATGCATTGGGGAACTGCTCTGGTCAATGCTTTGTTGCTTCGAGAAAACAAGAGTTTAAAACAGGAACACGGGAAGCTGCCTTATACAGTGGTACCTCGGGTTACAGACGCTTCAGGTTACGTGTTTTCGGGTTTCGCACAGAACCAAACCCGGAAGTACCGGAATGGGTTACTTCCGGGTTTGGGCGCTCGCGCATGCATGGAAGCCCTAATTCGTGCTTTTCGCTTGTGCAGAAGCGCCGAATCATGACCTGTGCATGCTCAGACGCGCCACTGCGGGTTGCGAACGATGCAGGTTGCAAACGTGCCCCCCGCACGGATCACGTTCGCAACCCGAGGTTCCACTGTACTCAGTCCAATCATTGGTTCATCGAGTTCAGTGCTGCCTCCACTGACTGGCAATAGACATAAGAGAATATCACCAAGGTAACTGCCAACAAACAACAAACGTATTTTTAATTTTAAATGTCCTTATTCTACTTGCTGATTCAGTGCAATTCTGTTACAGTAGTTTTTGACAGCGATGAAGCGTGGGTGGAGACTGCCTCTCCATCCTGACCCTTCCAGGGTGGAGGAAGACCGTATAGATCTAGAACAGGGGTTTGAGGGAAGTCACAACTCAGAGGCAGATGAGGAGGAAAGTTGGGAAATCATGGGAGAGGAGGAGGAGGAGGAGGAGGAGGAGGAGGCTGGAGCGGAGCAACGCCTGGCTGACACAGTGTCCTTAGAAAGCATCCCTGACCCTCCATCTCCCAGTACCCGGCAAGCCTTAAAAGTAGGAGAGCAAAGAGCTCAAAGATAGAGGGCACGTAGCAGCACCCGTAGAAGTAAAGAATGAGGAAGTGGAAGAGACGGGGGTGGAGATTCACTCGGGACAACGCCATTATCCAAGAGGCTGGGTTCTGTAGCCTCTCTCTGTAATATTGAAATAAAAAATGTGGTAAGAAACCTTTCCTTGTCTTTCTACCTTCCTGGACAACTAGCTGGGAGCCGCTGACACCCCCAGGCTGTGCACTTAAATTCCTTCAGCCAAATTGCCATCTTCATTATAGAACACAGGAAAGTGTTTCATACTGAGTCAGACCATTGGTCTACCTAGCTCAGGATTGCCTAAACTAAGTGGCAGCATCTCCTTGGGTTTTCAGACGCGAAGTCTCTCCCAGCCTGATAATGCCAGGAATTGAACCCGGGAGCTTCTGCACGCAAAGCAGAGGCTCTGCCACCAAACTCTAACCCTTCCTCATGTGCATTGGAGCAGGATCAGCACCCAATCAACAAGAAGCAGATTTGCATGCAGAGAACCCCAGGCAACTTTGGTAGGGTTTAAGAATGGGGAGAAAAGCTATCCCAATGCACCATTTGTCACAGCAAAGATCACTCCTCTGCAATGAACATCATGGCCTGGTTTCCCTTCCTTCTGGCCCTCACTTATTGCTCAGGTGATGAGAGACCCATTCCTCATTTCTGTTGGATGCTAGACTTTCATTTCTCCTATCAACTTATCTGCAGGAAGATTTGTCATTGCATTGTCTTAGACTGGAGTTTGAGCCTTATTAGTTGATATGATGAGCAGTCTAATAAGTCAGTGTTCCTCTCTTAGGAAGAGTTGCATGTATGTGTTTACCAGTTTATTTCCACATCTGTGTAACACCATGATTTTTTAAAAATTCTTCTTCTTTCAGGTTCTGTTGCCGAGTATGTACTTACACAACCCCCATCTGCCTCTGTGTCTTTGGGGCAAACTGTGGAACTCACTTGCTCAGGGGATAAGTTTGATAGGTACTATGTGCACTGGTACCAGCAGAGACATGGCAGTGCCCCTCAACTGGTTATATATGAGGACAGCATAAGACCTGCCAATATTTCAGACCGCTTTTCTGGAGAGAGCTCTGGCGGCACAGCCACCTTAACCATCACTGATGTCCAACAGCAAGATGAGGCTGACTATTACTGCCAAGTCTGGGACGAAGATGCTAGCCAGCAAGCACAGTGGCCCCATCAAAGGAGGAAGTGAGGCAAAAACCTCCTGCTGTCAAAGAGAAATGTCTATGTTTGTTAGCTGAGTGCAACAGAAATACTGTCACCACTCGCAGCTCCCAGTGATTTGCACTGAGTGGTATATTGCCTCTGATAACGGAGGTAGAATTTAGCTGTCATTTTTGTAGCCATTAAGAGCCTTATCGTCCCTAAGTCCTTCCACAGAGGGACTACATTTTTAAATATATCCTATTTCTTAAAATAAAAAAGGAAACTCTGCTGAAAGTATAACAGCAGAAGGAGTAGGCCAGGTTAGAACTCTTCCCTGTAATATCTTCGCTTTCTTTTTAAAGCACTATTTTAAAAATAATATTGGAGCAGCATTCAAAAATGGCACAGATACCTAACTGCAATCAAATGTGAAGGTAAAAATAAAGGACCCCCTGGATGGTTAAGTCCAGTCAAAGGCAACTATGGGGTGTGGTGCTCATCTCACTTTTCAGGCCAACGGGACACCATGACAGTTCGAAGTTTGGCGGTTTGAATCCATGTGATGGAGTGAGCTCCCATTTCTCTGTCCCAGCTCCTGCCAACCTAGCACTTAGAAAGCACACCAGTGCAAGTAGATAAGTAGGTATCACTGTGGCAGGAAGGTAAATGGCATTTCTGTGCCCTCTGGTTTCCATCACGGTGTCCCGTTGTGCCAAAGCAGTTTGTCCTGCTGGCCACATGACCCAGAAAGCTGTCTGTGGACAAAGGCTGGCTCCCTCGGCCTGAAAGCAAGATGAGTGCCACACCCCATAGTCGCCTTTGACTGGACTTAACTGTCCTGGGGTCCGTTACCTTTTAAAAAAATAACAACCTATGGAGCCCTGGCCAATGGCAAGGGTGATTATTACTGTGCAACGACACATATGGTGATGCAGCCTGATGGGGAACTGAGACAGAAACCTGTATTTCTCTTCCCTAAGGCAAGAATAAATTTAGAATTGTGTTCACTTATGATGCAAACAAACCGTCAAAGTACAGGCACCTCCGCATTTGCACACGATTGGCCCATGCATGACTGCTGATGCACATGCTATTTTTGGCACTGCAAAGGGGCAGAACAGGGTGGAACAGGTGTTTGGCATGGCATGGAATGGTGCCACACTTGTAGAATTCAGTGGGGAAATGTGTTGGTATTGCATACTCTTGAGTAAAGGTAAAGGTAAAGGGACCCCTGACCATTAGGTCCAGTCGTGGCCGACTCTGGGGTTGCGGCGCTCATCTCGCTTTATTGGCCGAGGGAGCCGGCGTACAGCTTCCGGGTCATGTGGCCAGCAGGACTAAGCCGCTTCTGGCGAACCAGAGCAGCGCACGGAAATGCCGTTTACCTTCCTACTGGAGCGGTACCTATTTATCTACTTGCACTTTGACGTGCTTTCGAACTGCTAGGTTGGCAGGAGCAGGGACCGAGCAACGGGAGCTCACCCCGTCGCGGGGATTCGAACCGCCGACCTTCTGATCGGCAAGTCCTAGGCTCTGTGGTTTAACCCACAGCGCCACCCGTGTCCCATTGACTCTTGAATACCTCCAAGGGAAAAAATACTGCCTGTACTAAACTTTTGGTGGAGTCAAGAGCTTAAGAAGACACCTGTTGGATCAGGCCCAAGGCTCATCCTAGTGTTGCATCCTGTTCGCACAACCGCCAACCAAATGTCTAGAGGATTGACCACAAGCAGTGATCAATATAACCTAAAGTGTCATGGAATTCTACTCAGTATCGATCCAGAGCAGATTCCAAGGTATAGTTAGCAGAGTAACAACTTAAACACATTGCAGGATTCCCCCAAAAGTAGACCAGAGGCCACTGTATTTCATCCAGCAGAGCTTTACTGCTACTGAAGGCAAATGAGCATAATGGTCACAAATCCAAATACATTCAGAACTGGCACTGTCCATAAGAAATCCAGTTGCAGCAGACTAATTAAACTTAAACTTACAATAACTGATAACCCATTTTTGTCTACTTGAAGAAGCCATGGTCCGATCTGAAAAATACAAATATTTAGGATACAAAACTGTAAAAATAAAGAAAAATTAAGTTTGCAAAACAATAATTACCATGTAGTTAGGGTAGATCAACGTGTCAGTGTCCACTTATCCCCAGTGTAAATATGACATATCGGCAAAAGTCGGAAATTGAAAGGTAGCCATAGCATGTACACGAAAATCAATTTCAGATTTGAAATCAGCATTGAAAGAACATATAAGAACAGTTGAAAAATCTCATGCAAAAGAAAATGGAAAAAAAAATGTTCCCCAGTACACTGTGTATCCCAAGGGAATACATTTTTTTGCATACCTCCAACTGTACATAGATATACATGTCATTTTCAATGCTATACATGTCACGTTCAATGCTATATAAGTCACTTACACTAATACTCATACTTTGGCTATGTGTTTAATAAAATATTGAATTCTTGCATTGTGAAAAACAAGGATTATGGTGAAAAGTGAAAAACATGAATTGCAAAAAAACCCTATAGCTTACAGAACAAAACCAACTTCAGATATGAAATCAGCACGTTGACATTAGGTTAGAACAACTGCAGGTGTCAATGCAACAAAAATAGCTCAGGGGCAGATAAGGGGAAATATACAATATACAATGTGACACTAGATGGCGATGGTGAGCCTTATAGAAAATTCAATGTATTTTTTAAAAACTTTTTAAAAAAGAATTCTCAGAACATTTGTTATATGTGTTTTGAATCCACCTTAGATACAAACCTAGGTAATACATATTAGTAACATAACAAATACCTGCCTGTCTTTTATGTTTAATCTAGCAAGGGCAAGTACACCAAGCAAAGGTTATTTATTATTTAAACTGTAAAAGAGAGTGTCTTGCATAGTTTTTATAAAAGTGAAAAGGGAATTAACTAAAGGGTCAAACAACCTGGGCTCTCTTCCACATAACACTGCACATGGGAACTAGAGTTTAATTCCCACAAGATGTCCCTCCCAAAGAAAAAGTGTTCACCCTTTATTTTCTGCAGTGCCATAGCATGCCTTTTATCCCCAGGGGTGGAGAGGAGGGTGTGCTGCGTTTTCAAGGGAAATGATTTGAATGTAGGGCTGGGTCACAAGATTGAATAGATTTAAGAGAGCAGAGAGACGGGTCTGAAGCAGAAACCTCTGTGCCTTAAGGAGGGAGAGCTCCTCTGCGTTCCCATCATGCTCTGGGCCTGCCTCTTCCTCACTTATTTCTCAGGTAGGAGAGAAAAAAGTGTGTTTTTCTTTCTTTCTTCTGAGCGACAGACCAAAGAGGAGTCTAACATATCCTGAGATAATTTTTCTCTTTCTCTTTCAGGATCTTTGGCCCAGTATGTGTTGACGCAGCCCCCATCAGTGTCCGTGTCTCTGGGACAAGATGTCCAGATCCCTTGTTCCGGGAGCAACATTGGTGGGAAGGATGTAAACTGGTACCAACAAAAACCCAGCCAGGCCCCTGTACTGTTAATATACAGAGACAGTAGGAGGCCTGTTGGGATCTCGGACCGATTCTCTGGCACCAACTCCGGCAACCCAGCCAGACTGAGCATTGCCAGAGCCCAAGCAGAGGATGAGGCCGATTATTACTGTCAGGTGCGGGACAGCAACACACCTCACAGTGACACAGGCAGATGGGGAAGTGCGACAAAAACCTCTTGCTGAAAAAGGCAGCTGCTATCATACTCTGTTTTCAGAAGAGCGACCTTCCAGTGGAATTGAATTTTCATGAAAAGAGGCTTATTCTCACCTCCAAACCCCCACTTTCCCTAGAATTACACTTGCTGTTGCCCCTCGCTCCCTCATTTAATGAGGGGAAGCAAATGAAGGGGGTTCACTGAGGTAGAGAATTTAGCATAGACTTCAAGTGTGCATCGGAAATAGACAGCAGGTCTATGCCGGGCCACAGAGAGGCTTATTTTGTCATTATTTAGAGCATTTGTACCCTGCTCTTTGGTCAAAGAGGCTCCCAGAGTGGCTTACATACAAGCAATTGAAACCAGACACTCCTTCCCCATAGGGTATAAGCTCAGGAAAACCACGACACACAAGGCGAAAGGAACAGGGAGGGCAGAGGAAAATATACATCCAACTCAGGCACCAATGTCTAAACAGTTGTGCCTATAATGACCAGCTGGCCTAGTTTGGGGGCAGGAAGGAACTGATGGAGTTGGACTTCCAGCAAAGCTGACGAAATGAGCCTTGTTTGCTACTTCTCTCACTGAGGCAAATCTGATGGGATGGCTGCCCCCTCCCAGTTGAGGGAGAGGAGGCCTGAGGAGCTGGCCTCTCATTTCAAACTGCTGTTCTCTGGCTACGTTGGGCACCACTTATCCTCCGTTTCTGAGCCCCCTTAACTACATCTCAGTGCTCATAAACGCCACACTTTAACTCTGTGTTAACCTCCATTCGTCTGTCCTTTTTAAAAAAATATTTATTTGGTTTTTCAGATTAAAATTTTTTAGTCACATATCCAACATACAACATAAAAACAAGATTCCAATGAATCTCCTGGACTTCCCTCCTCCCCTTTGTGGGTCCTATTGTTAATCATTTCCTCCTGCATCTTTTATAATAATCCAAATATTTTACCTCTCCATTGTCCAAAATTCATCAATGAACTACAAGTGATATTCTGATCGTACTAATGATTTTAACTGTTTACAATGGACTTTAAGATAAGTTATAAATTTCCCCCCTCATTGAAATTTTGATTTTCCTGATTTCTGATTCTTCTAGTTACTTTAGCTATTTCAGCATAATCCATCAACTTGATCTGCCATTCTTCTCTGGTCAGGACTTTTGTCTGTCATGATCTCCAACCCACATGGACTTCAGATGACGTATTGGGAAAGGGGGCGAAATTAAGTACCCTAAACCATCATGGTGTTTCAATAAACATCTCTAGAGGGTGCTGGCAGACTTGGTAAGATCCACTCTGTGCAACCAGGCAGAGGGGCTGAAATAGCATGCTGCTGGAGAGCACTAACCACATCCTCCTCTTTCTCACATGATACGCTGCCACCACATATCCCTTGGGACAGATTATGCATTGGGGAACTGCTCTGGTCAATGCTTTGTTGCTTCGAGAAAACAAGAGTTTAAAACAGGAACACGGGAAGCTGCCTTATACAGTGGTACCTCGGGTTACAGACGCTTCAGGTTACGTGTTTTCGGGTTTCGCACAGAACCAAACCCGGAAGTACCGGAATGGGTTACTCCGGGTTTGGGCGCTCGCGCATGCATGGAAGCCCTAATTCGTGCTTTTCACTTGTGCAGAAGCGCCGAATCATGACCTGTGCATGCTCAGACGCGCCACTGCGGGTTGCGAACGATGCAGGTTGCAAACGTGCCCCCCGCACGGATCACGTTCGCAACCCGAGGTTCCACTGTACTCAGTCCAATCATTGGTTCATCGAGTTCAGTGCTGCCTCCACTGACTGGCAATAGACATAAGATAATATCACCAAGGTAACTGCCAACAAACAACAAACGTATTTTTCATTTTAATTTTCCTTATTCTACTTGCTGATTCAGTGCAATTCTGTTACAATAGTTTTTGACAGCGATGAAACGTGGGTGGAGACTGCCTCTCCATCCTGACCCTTCCAGGGTGGAGGAAGACCGTATAGATCTACAACAGGGGTTTGAGGGAAGTCACAGCTCAGAGGCAGATGAGGAGGAAAGTTGGGAAATCATGGGAGAGGAGGAGGAGGAGGAGGGAGGAGGAGGAGGAGGAGGCTGAAGCGGAGCAACGCCTGGCTGACACAGTGTCATTAGAAAGCATCCCTGACCCTCCATCTCCCAGTACCCGGCAAGCCTTAAAAGTAGGAGAGCAAAGAGCTCAAAGATAGAGGGCACGTAGCAGCACCCGTAGAAGTAAAGAATGAGGAAGTGGAAGAGACGGGGGTGGAGATTCACTCGGGACAACACCATTATCCAAGAGGCTGGGTTCTGTAGCCTCTCTCTGTAATATTGAAATAAAAAAATGTGGTAAGAAACCTTTCCTTGTCTTTCTACCTTCCTGGACAACTAGCTGGGAGCCGCTGACACCCCCAGGCTGTGCACTTAAATTCCTTCAGCCAAATTGCCATCTTCATTATAGAACACAGGAAAGTGTTTCATACTGAGTCAGACCATTGGTCTACCTAGCTCAGGATTGCCTAAACTAAGTGGCAGCATCTCCTTGGGTTTTCAGACGCGAAGTCTCTCCCAGCCTGATAATGCCAGGAATTGAACCCGGGAGCTTCTGCACGCAAAGCAGAGGCTCTGCCACCAAACTCTAACCCTTCCTCATGTGCATTGGAGCAGGATCAGCACCCAATCAACAAGAAGCAGATTTGCATGCAGAGAACCCCAGGCAACTTTGGTAGGGTTTAAGAATGGGGAGAAAAGCTATCCCAATGCACCATTTGTCACAGCAAAGATCACTCCTCTGCAATGAACATCATGGCCTGGTTTCCCTTCCTTCTGGCCCTCACTTATTGCTCAGGTGATGAGAGACCCATTCCTCATTTCTGTTGGATGCTAGACTTTCATTTCTCCTATCAACTTATCTGCAGGAAGATTTGTCATTGCATTGTCTTAGACTGGAGTTTGAGCCTTATTAGTTGATATGATGTGCAGTCTAATAAGTCAGTGTTCCTCTCTTAGGAAGAGTTGCATGTATGTGTTTACCAGATTATTTCCACATCTGTGTAACACCATGATTTTTTTAAAAAATTATTCTTCTTTCAGGTTCTGTTGCCGAGTATGTACTTACACAACCCCCATCTGCCTCTGTGTCTTTGGGGCAAACTGTGGAACTCACTTGCTCAGGGGATAAGTTTGATAGGTACTATGTGCACTGGTACCAGCAGAGACATGGCAGTGCCCCTCAACTGGTTATATATAAGGACAGCATAAGACCTGCCAATATTTCAGACCGCTTTTCTGGAGAGAGCTCTGGCGGCACAGCCACCTTAACCATCACTGATGTCCAACAGCAAGATGAGGCTGACTATTACTGCCAAGTCTGGGACAAAGATGCTAGCCAGCAAGCACAGTGGCCCCATCAAAGGAGGAAGTGAGGCAAAAACCTCCTGCTGTCAAAGAGAAATGTCTATGTTTGTTAGCTGAGTGCAACAGAAATACTGTCACCACTCGCAGCTCCCAGTGATTTGCACTGAGTGGTATATTGCCTCTGATAACGGAGGTAGAATTTAGCTGTCATTTTTGTAGCCATTAACAGCCTTATCGTCCCTAAATCCTTCCACAGAGGGACTACATTTTTAAATATATCCTATTTCTTAAAATAGAAAAAGGAAACTCTGCTGAAAGTATAACAGCAGAAGGAGTGGGCCAGGTTAGAACTCTTCCCTGTAATATCTTCGCTTTCTTTTTTTAAAGCACTATTTTAAAAATAATATTGGAGCAGCATTCAAAAATGGCACAGATACCTAACTGCAATCAAATGTGAAGGTAAAAATAAAGGACCCCCTGGATGGTTAAGTCCAGTCAAAGGCAACTATGGGGTGTGGTGCTCATCTCACTTTTCAGGCCAACGGGACACCATGACAGTTCGAAGTTTGGCGGTTTGAATCCATGTGATGGAGTGAGCTCCCATTTCTCTGTCCCAGCTCCTGCCAACCTAGCACTTAGAAAGCACACCAGTGCAAGTAGATAAGTAGGTATCACTGTGGCAGGAAGGTAAATGGCATTTCTGTGCCCTCTGGTTTCCATCACGGTGTCCCGTTGTGCCAAAGCAGTTTGTCCTGCTGGCCACATGACCCAGAAAGCTGTCTGTGGACAAAGGCTGGCTCCCTCGGCCTGAAAGCAAGATGAGTGCCACACCCCATAGTCGCCTTTGACTGGACTTAACTGTCCTGGGGTCCGTTACCTTTTTAAAAAAAATAACAACCTATGGAGCCCTGGCCAATGGCAAGGGTGATTATTACTGTGCAACGACACATATGGTGATGCAGCCTGATGGGGAACTGAGACAGAAACCTGTATTTCTCTTCCCTAAGGCAAGAATAAATTTAGAATTGTGTTCACTTATGATGCAAACAAACCGTCAAAGTACAGGCACCTCCGCATTTGCACACGATTGGCCCATGCATGACTGCTGATGCACATGCTATTTTTGGCACTGCAAAGGGGCAGAACAGGGTGGAACAGGTGTTTGGCATGGCATGGAATGGTGCCACACTTGTAGAATTCAGTGGGGAAATGTGTTGGTATTGCATACTCTTGAGTAAAGGTAAAGGTAAAGGGACCCCTGACCATTAGGTCCAGTCGTGGCCGACTCTGGGGTTGCGGCGCTCATCTCGCTTTATTGGCCGAGGGAGCCGGCGTACAGCTTCCGGGTCATGTGGCCAGCAGGACTAAGCCGCTTCTGGCGAACCAGAGCAGCGCACGGAAATGCCGTTTACCTTCCTACTGGAGCGGTACCTATTTATCTACTTGCACTTTGACGTGCTTTCGAACTGCTAGGTTGGCAGGAGCAGGGACCGAGCAACAGGAGCTCACCCCGTCGCGGGGATTCGAACCGCCGACCTTCTGATCGGCAAGTCCTAGGCTCTGTGGTTTAACCCACAGCGCCACCCGTGTCCCATTGACTCTTGAATACCTCCAAGGGAAAAAATACTGCCTGTACTAAACTTTTGGTGGAGTCAAGAGCTTAAGAAGACACCTGTTGGATCAGGCCCAAGGCTCATCCTAGTGTTGCATCCTGTTCGCACAACCGCCAACCAAATGTCTAGAGGATTGACCACAAGCAGTGATCAATATAACCTAAAGTGTCATGGAATTCTACTCAGTATCGATCCAGAGCAGATTCCAAGGTATAGTTAGCAGAGTAACAACTTAAACACATTGCAGGATTCCCCCAAAAGTAGACCAGAGGCCACTGTATTTCATCCAGCAGAGCTTTACTGCTACTGAAGGCAAATGAGCATAATGGTCACAAATCCAAATACATTCAGAACTGGCACTGTCCATAAGAAATCCAGTTGCAGCAGACTTAAACTTAAACTTACAATAACTGATAACCCATTTTTGTCTACTTGAAGAAGCCATGGTCCGATCTGAAAAATACAAATATTTAGGATACAAAACTGTAAAAATAAAGAAAAATTAAGTTTGCAAAACAATAATTACCATGTAGTTAGGGTAGATCAACGTGTCAGTGTCCACTTATCCCCAGTGTAAATATGACATATCGGCAAAAGTCGGAAATTGAAAGGTAGCCATACCATGTACACGAAAATCGATTTCAGATTTGAAATCAGCATTGGAAGAACATATAAGAACAGTTGAAAAATCTCATGCAAAAGAAAATGAAAAAAAAAATGTCCCAGTACACTGTGTATCCCAAGGGAATACATTTTTTTGCATACCTCCAACTGTACATAGATATACATGTCATTTTCAATGCTATACATGTCACGTTCAATGCTATATAAGTCACTTACACTAATACTCATATTGTACTACTTTGGCTATGTGTTTAATAAAATATTGAATTCTTGCATTGTGAAAAACAAAGATTATGGTGAAAAGTGAAAAACATGAATTGCAAAAAAAACCTATAGCTTACAGAACAAAACCAACTTCAGATATGAAATCAGCACGTTGACATTAGGTTAGAATAACTGCAGGTGTCAATGCAAAAAAATTTTTGTTCCCCATTGTAATAAGTCTAAACTTTAACACTAAGCATGCTATGTACAGAACACCACACCAGAAGGAAAAAGAGATAGAAAGAGAAAGTGAAACCGAGGCTCCTTCTGGCCTTATTTTTATAGTCAGCATAACCTTGATGGAAGAGATAACAGGACCAGTTTAAGCCAGCTGTACTCAGCTTCTCTGAAGGAATAAGCCAAACATCATGGACCTTCTGCTTCTTTCTTTCACACTGAGAAGCCTCCAGAACCCTCTTGAATTCATTAGAATGGGAAAGATCTCTACACATCAGATCAATACTTTCTGCACTAAGAAATGCAAACTGGTGGTGTGAGCGTACATCAGAGTTTGCCTCAGAATCAAATCCAGAGACTTTGTTGCATCTTTAATACCTGTGTAGAAGAGCTTGCACTTTGACGTGCTTTCGAACTGCTAGGTTGGCAGGAGCAGGGACCGAGCAACGGGAGCTCACCCCGTTGCGGGGATTTGAACCACTGACCTTCTGATCCGCAAGTCCTAGGCTCTGTGGTTTAACCCACAGCACCACCCGCGTCCCTTTACCTTTAGAAGAAAGTGCAAGTAGATAAATAGGGACCGCTCCGGTGGGAAGGTAAACGGCGTTTCTGTGTGCTGCTCTGGTTCGCCAGAAGCGGCTTAGTCCTGCTGGCCACATGACCCGGAAGCTGTCTGCGGACAAATGCCGGCTCCCTCGGCCTATAGAGCGAGATGAGCGCGCAACCCCAGAGTCGGTCACGACTGGACCTAATGGTCAGGGGTCCCTTTACCTTTAGAAGAGCTTAACATGCAATAGCTTCATGTTGCTGCAAGAGACAGGCGCTGCTGCAAATGCATGTGACCTCTGCTAGTGGTGATAGTGCTTCCTTTCTCTATCCCCGCTTTTATTTGGAGGCGGATGCCTGGAAAGGCTTTTCAGATGTTTGCATCTCTTTGGTTGTGCTGCCATCTTCAGGCTTCTTGGAAGCAGGAAGGAGTATCCGGTAGCAAGCTACTGGCGAGCTGAATGAATGAATGAATTTATTAATACGGTCACAGACCAGCGCTAACACACACAACATCACAGATCATAAAAAATATATATAAAAAATACAAAGGACAATATAAGTATAACAAGCATTTAAATATAAAAAATTAAAATTAATTATTAGCATGCCCCCTGCTATCAACACTTGGGGGTTTGGTCACCATGGGATACCACTTGCTTCCTGCGACTAATTGCAGCCGCACAGAATTTCGCTACATTTAATGTAGTCTTGGGATTCTTGTCCTCTAGCAGCAGTTCCAAACCATGGTGTTCCGACTCCTTCCCGGACTTCCGCAAAACAGGAGCAATAAAAGTCGAACGTATGTCCTCATAGAGACGACAACGCAACAGTACATGTGCAGCAGTCTCAACCTCCACAGGGGCAGACCCGCGCTGCGTATGGTTTACCCTCAAATCTGCCCTGAAGTAAGGCAGAAGGGAGAACGTTGAATCTGGCGAGGGTAAAAGACCGTCTGTATTTGGGTACCTGAAGACCTGACAGGTAGTTAGCTGGAGAAAAACCTCTCCCATAGTCCCTTATTGCAGGATATTTGGTCATTTCACTCATGTGGCATTGTAATTCTACGTCCCAGATACGCTGGCGAATTGTGGTCCTAGCTTTCTCGAAGCCTGTGGCTATCAGGGGCTGCTGTGGGATCCCCAAGCCTTTAAGCTTTTCCAGCAGTGTAGCTTTCCATCTGGATTGGTAGGTATCCAGTAAGGTCAAAGGTGCCAGCCCAACCGGGAAGAAAATAAGCTTTAGCCAGTAATGGATCTTCAATATCCATATCCGGGTACTGATCGGAATTTGCCCAACCTCCAAACGGACTGCTATGTTGGATACGCAAGAGGGGAACCCCAGCAGGCAGCGGAAAAACTTAGTTTGAAATGCCTCTAGGAGAGTAAGGTTTTTAAAACTGCAGATCTGAGATCCATATAACAATTGTGGTAGTATTTTGGCAGCAAAGACCTGGGAGGCTGCCGGTATGTACTGGCCTCCTTTCCCATAGAAGAATCTTATTAACGCTTTGGTAGATCTTTCTGCATTTGCAATAGTATTATTAATCTGAAAGCGCCAGGAGCCCCTTTCCTGGAAGGTTACACCCAGGTATTTAAAGGTTGCTACCTGTTCTATTAAGCGGTTGTCTATTCTCCATTTGTGCCTCCTCCTTTTTTTGGAGAACACCATAACTTTGGATTTGTTGTAGTTAATTGTTAATTGTTCGATGCTGCAGTATTTGGTGAAAGATCTCAAAAGTTTTCTTAATCCAACACAAGAAAAAGAAATTAAAACTGTGTCATCCGCATATAAAAGGACCGGGAGGGGCGTA